CCAATACATTACTGACCCTCCCCCAATACAATAGATCCCCCCAAGCCCCTTTATTCTTACCTTTCCAACAGCTCAATGTTGCAGGAGGGAAGAGAGGCTGCGATCTAATCGGAGTAGGTACGGCCGCCGCGCAGCCGCCGGATGTGACGTCATGTCGTCATTTGCCGCTCACATCCGGCGGCCGACGGCTGACAGGAAGTATCTGTGCGCTCGCACAGGAAGCAGCCGCGGCCGGCGCGGTGCGGATGTGGCTGCGCCGGCCGCATAAGCGAACAGAAATTTTTTTTTTCAGGTCTTGTGGCTGAAGGCAGCCACATGTCAAAGCGGCCCCAGGGCTGGCGGCCTACCGGGAAATTTCCCGGTATCCCGGTAGGCCAGTCCGGCCCTGATGGGCTGCGCACGCCTATGATATACAAATATATAGAGAGAGGGATATCGGCCTTCCTCGCACTGCAAGTCATCGTCTGCTTGACAGGGATACATTTTTACTCACCAATGGCTAGTGGGAATGTTGAGCCCTGATCTGCATAATCCATTCACAAATACGGGCCAGCTCCAGGAGTTCCCCGTCAGTTCAATATCATACCATTCTCCAGAAACAGGTCTTCTCATAATTACTGTTAATGCTATTTTCAGTTTCCTAAAATATTCTTTTTCAAACACATTTCAGTTCTCTGTCTGGGAAAAGTCTTCCGACGTCTGTGAATGGAAAACAATTGAAAAAAATATCAGACAAGAAACTGAGATCAAATGAAGAAATTGGGGAAGAAATGGAGTGGAAGAGAGCAAAACAAAAAGTATGTTTATTTTGGCACAATGGGAGGTGTCCAAACATTAGTTACCCAGAGGGAAAAACATCATGGGTGCTGAAGTTTCTGCAATAGTTAGTGATCAACCTTGTGGACATTCAGATGACATTATCTTCATGATTAGATTTAAAGCAACATTATAGTGGGAGGAATACAAAACTCCTCCATTGCACCCCTCCCCAGCAGTAAATAAAGGTTTAATAACAACTCTTTAAACAATCAGATGTCAGCCAATGGGGGGAACCTAATGCACATGCACAGCGAGACTCTCTCTATAGGAAAGCACTACTTCAATGCTTTCCTATGGGATTTTAACTGACACTGGATGTCCTCATGCAGCGCATCAGGTGACCAAAGGTCAGTTAGCCACCAGTAAGTGCCACTAGAGGCAATCTAAGTCCCGAGAAACTGCACTCAGACTACTTCAATAAGGGGAAGTGGTCTGGGTGACTTAATGGACTTAATAGAGTGGTTTTGTGTATAGAATATGTACCTGCAGTCTAACTGCTCAATTCTTTGCCATTTGGGAGTTAAATAACTGAAGGGAATAAAAACAACACTTTAAATGACTCTTTATGCAGTCCAACAGTCTCCCTACACACTTCCTGTAAAGATAGATCTAATATTTAAACTTTCTTTATTGCACAGTCTGTTTAATTTAGAAGTTTTCATTTCCTGCTCTGTTAATAGCTTGCTATAGCCTGCAGCAACCTGCTGTGTGTGTGATTAAAGTTCAATTAACAGAGCAGGAGACCTCTAAAGAAAACACACTGTGCTGTTATATCGGCAAATAGGACCATTTTCTCGTGTAGGCAGTGTCAATCACGTGCAGGGAGGTGTGGCTAGGGCTGCATAAACAGAAACAAAAGTGTTTTAACTCCTAAATGGCAGAGAATTGAGCAGTGAGACTGCAGGGGCATGTTCTATACACCAAAACTGCTTTATTGTTGTTTTGGTCTTTAGATTATCCTTTTGAAAACGAAAGTGAGCTGCATATTGTACTTCACCTTTTGTAACATGTAATTCTACACAGAGAGCCTTCCTGGGCCATGACACCAGTTACTACATCGCTGCTGCTATGGCCTGTAACATGACAGATAACAGACTAATAGACAGTGATTTTCCCAAATAGGCCTTACATCAGGAAAAACAGAATAATCTCATATTATTAATGTTTATAAAGCTTCCAGATATTCTGCAGAGCCGTATAATAGAACGATTCTTTGCTTCGTCCCCTAGATTGAACAGTTTCTGGATTTCCCAGCAATGATTTCAGATTTGTCTCTTAGGTAAGAAATTCCTAATAACGAAATGAATATAAAATGGAAATAACCGCTGGTCTTTACTGATTTACTGTTAGTGACACCGTTATTTCCTTTGATGTTTTTAAATCCAGTCATTTAAACCTGTATATGTTATTTATGTATTAATTCAACGTTTTCTGATCTGTGAAATGTTTTCCAATTAGATATTATCTACCCCGTTTCGTGGTGTTTAAACTTTAACATGGTTTAGTCGGCTAACTATTAATGGGATTATATGGGATTATACATGTTCTCCTGAAGCTAATGTGAAACATTAATCACCCCTTAATTCAAAGCAGTCATGGGGGTCATCGGAGATAAACTCATTGCAGTATTTGGTGGAAGTCAAGAAGGGGCTCTGCTCAAAGAATTAATGGGGAAATGAAATCAGTTCATTACAGTAAACGAAGAGTTAACGGGACACTATAGTCACCAAAACAATTTTAGTTTAATGAAGCAGTTTTGGTGTATAGATCATGCCCCTGCAGTCTCACTGCTCAATCCTCTGCCATTTAGGAGTTAAATCACTTTTGTTTCTGTTTATGCAGCCCCATGGCTGTGACGGACACAGCCTACATGAAAACAAAATGGTTTCCTTTTCAATAAATTAATGATGTTAATTTGCTTTAGAAGTTTTATCTCATTCTCTGTAAATTGAACTTTAATCACACACAGGAGGCTCCTGCAGGGCCTAAAAGGCCATTAACAGAGCAGGAAATAATAAATTATGAATAAACTGACTGGAAGTAAGGAAGTGTAAACATTAGAGCGCTCTTTACAGGAAGAGTTTAGGAAGGCTGTGCAAGTCACATGTGGGAAGGCGTGACTAGGGTTCATAAACAAAGGGATTTAACTCCTAAATGGCAGATAATTGAGCAGTGAGACTGTAGGGGCATAATCTATACACCAACACTGCTTCATTAAGCTAAAGTTAGTTCATGCATAGTATACACAGTACTGTATCGTATATTATAATACTGTAGTATACACAGCAGTGTTTCGCATATTATAATACCATAGTATACACATCACTGTATAGTATATTATAATACCGTAGTATACACAGCACTGCATAGTATATTATAACACTGTAGTATACACTGCACTGTACAGTATATTATAATGTTGTCACGGACCGCCTGGCACCCCAACCGGGTGCCTCCGCCAACCGATGCTTCTAATGCTCACCGAGGACTCCAAGCACTCCACCAGATACCATCAGCACCATAGTGCCCACTGCCAGTGTTACAGCTTGGCTGGGAACTCGCCGTCCTCCACCCACCCTGGACCCAGCTGGATCCAGCTTCCAGTGGGTGAACCTCTCCTATTCAAGAGAGCGTAGCAGGAACAGCTCTTAAAAGAACTAGCGATTATTATCCCAGGGGAGTATACAGATATAGCAATCCCCTGGGTAGACACAGCCGTTTCCCCCACATGAGATGAGATTCTATGTTGAGGGTAAGCAGGAACTCATTTTAATGGTGCCACACTTGGCCTTTTATGCAAGTCCCCAAGCAAGGTGTAGGCCCACATGGACCTTGTTGGAGAGAGGGACACAAAGCTTACAAACCAATCAGAACAATAATTAAATGTACGAAACTCCCATAACAAACATACAATCCCTCCCCCTCTCCCTGTAAGATAATTGAGTCAGATACTGTATTAACCCAATTATCTCCAGGCAGAAAAAACATATAGTTTACAAAAACCCCAAAGTACCCTAAAAATACATAAAATCCCACAATTATTACATCCACTGATAGCCCTAATCTGGGTGACCAACATATCCAAAAATCACCCAGATCAGTTCAGGGGTTCAAGAACTCCCCTTCGAACAGCCAAACTTCCATGGAAGGTAAAGTTTTAGCGGTGTTCGTGCCGTCGACTGTCCGATTTGAGTTCCATGCACTCGACGACCAAAAACCGCTGGATGCGTTCGACTTAACAAGATGTTTGAATATCGAATGGTGGCCACTTCAACTCACTTCCACTATTCGGGAGTTCGAAGTGCCACTTCAAAAGTTCAAATTTGTTCCAGTTAGTACAAGAGGCACAACCCAAAGTTCACCACAGGGCCATAGTCACAGGGCAGGAAGCTGGCTAACAGGCCCCTCCAAAAAAACAGTGGTGAGGTCACTTTCGACACAAATGTTATAGTATCATATACATCCATCTGTTTACCTGGAACTTGCCGTGGCATATTTCAGGGTTAGGGATATATTATTCTGTTCAGTTTTTAAAATGTGACCCCATCAGAATGAAGGAGTTCCCCAAAACAAACTATGAATAATATGAGATGTACAAATGTTGCTGCTTCGCACAGCTCTGAGTAATCGTTTTAGTGATATTTCTACTAACAGAAGATGGATAGGAAGATGTTTTTTTGTATCAAATCCCTACAGTCTGTTGAGTATGAAGCGAGTATTGTTGTTTATGAAATGTCACTCCTGATTTATATCTATGGCAGAAACCATCCCCGCCGAAGACTTTCACCATCAGACACACAGACTGGGAGGCCACCTGCACAGTCCGAGCAAGTGTCACACAGTAAGCCGGTGAGTACACCAGCCTTCCCCATGCCAGCACTGCCTGGAGGACAGTCACGACCTTTCCTTATTTCTAATGAGAAATATTAAACCGACATCTTGGACTTTGCAGCCCTCCCCACCGATAACTGTGCATTGTCAGGAATTTAGAGTGGATTTCACGTTTTAGGTAAAAAACAAACATACTGAAAATAGGACTTTGAATTCAGTTTAAATTGCTGATAATTCACAGTTTAGTGAAGTTACCTCACCAATGTAATTACACACATTAACAAAGGGGGCAGGAGGGACAATCAACGCTCTATTGGCTCAGTACTGGAAGAAACGCCTGGCCAGGATTCCATGGGTTAACAGGTAACCATTTGGGCTTGGGCCAGCAACATCAAACACAAACATTATAAAAGGGTGGGATGGGGTGAGGCAGGCAGGGGGTCCAAAAAGATCCAATCCCTTGTACCTGGGTACCGGGGAAAGGCTGGCAGCCCTGACGCGACGTTCACTTACTTTTGCTTTATTTAAAAAAAAAAATTGGAGTAAATAGTAACATTTACTGTATGTCTTAAGCTAGGCTTCGATTTAATATTTTTGGATAAACTTTTAAAAATATTTTTTTCAACACATCGAAATATATATAAAGTATAGAAATATATCAATGTATCGAAACAGATCAAAATATTCCACAATTTAAATATTTTACAAAACATGAAATCCTTTTAAAAGTTTGTCCAAAAATAATACTTTTGTCTTAACTTAGATAAACAGTCGGATGTAGGCTGGGGCTGATGGGAGTCAGAGTTCTGTTTCATTGCAATTATTGCATTTTACTACCAAGATTTCCAATAATTCATGCTATTAAGGGGCAAGTTTCCAATGTTTTGAACATTTTACAAATTGAGTCAGTCCCAAGCTGGACTACATAATGGGGATATTGTTAGTAACTAATTTGTGCTATCCAGAAAAAAGCCTAATGTCAACATTTAACGGCCTCATTTGTCTAACTTATTTACGCAAATGTGCAGAACAACTCTCTTCTCCAACAAAACCCAGTGTGAGAAATGGGGTGTCACTGGCCTTCCCGACCCGTCCGATCAATTAATCTTTATTAAACTGATATTCTATTTACTAGTGGGACCATCTAGAATGCAGACAGCCAATAGGAATCAGGCCTGAGAGGCAAAGGATATGTATACACTACACTGGCTCTAATGTCAGTTTGATTTATGTGATTTTTTTTCTGTAATATGCAAAAATATGTTGCATTTTTAGTAGCACATTAGTAGAATATAGTGTTTACCCTCTCATTTTGTTTTGTCTCTCATTACTTGAAATTGGTTGGCAGTATTTATATATTTATTTTTAAACTAGAGTAAATCATTAAATAAATATTACTGATATAATGGCTCTTTTTACTTTCTAGGTTCCGATTCCCAACACCAGACACAATGCGCTTTTCTTAAGAGACTTGTCGAAGAAAGCACAAATGTCCTATTTAATGTCACAGCATCTGGAGACAGACACTATTTGTCCTCCGGACCCCCAGTATAAAGAAAATGGGAATCATGGTGTCAGTGGAGACATCAAGGACTCGTTATCAACAGCAGAACATGTACCGAATGAAGGTGAAAACACATATGCAAGCCGTCTCCTCGTTCGGGGTGAAACGCGTTTACATCAGTCCACCCCTGAGGAGCCAGTCATACAGTCTGAGAACACGGATCGATAAAAATAACAAGAATAATGGATTCATAACTTCTAAAAAAAAACAACAACTCTGTACATGTGTTTTCTGTGTCACTATACAAACGCACAAAATGAACATTACTTTATTACATTGATGAACAGTATGTGCAGAGAATCAGTAACAAAAAAAAAATGTATTTATTTTTTGCTTTCCTCAAAGGCGAATCGTAAATCTTAAAAAGGACTGAAACACACCCAGCTCCGTATCTTTCCAAATAAAATTATTGTGACCTTTTTAATGTTTCCAGCTGGGCAGCTTATTGCTGTAAGATGTTTCTCACTCACAGAGCCGAGAGCATGCTAGGGATGCTCTGTGCACCATCAACCATGATGGTGCTCACAGTGACTTTCACAAGTAAATTGTTCAATGGCAGCAAATGCACTTACTTGGACCCTACGTGTCTTTACGGAAAATGATTTGCTAATAATATAATAAAATTAATACAATGTATTCATTAAATACATTTATGTGTCAGTCTCTGATCTTTAACATGGCTTGTGTTATTCATTAAGACTAATTGCGCGCATGCAGAAAGGTGTTTTATATTCTGGGTCCTGCTGTCATTTGAGGAAACTGCATTCCCAGAAACACATCAATTTCTGGAATGAAAATAATTTAAAATGAGAGAACAAAGATCTACACAGTAAATGGTTTTTGAAGTCAATGAGTTGTTTATGAGTTGTATCCCACAATAATGAGCTAATGTTCTGCGATTTCATTTTTAAATGAAAAAGATAGGGTTAATACGTTTCAATGTCCAGCAAGTCAGCGATTGTCTCCCTCTGCTCCGTGTTGTTTTTCTTTATTGTTTGTGATAAAAAAAAAAAAAAAATCAAATTATGAAATAATTAAAGTCAATATTCAGACAAACTACCAGATTAGAGATCTGATATGATATCGATTTAATGGAACCTTTACCAGGAAAACTGACAAAGATAGATATGTATCTAGATCTGCATCATGTTACATAATGCACGTTTTTATCCAATGTCACGATTTATATGATTTTTTACAAAAAATTTGGCTTTATCATAACAACTAAAAACTCATTTTGAAAAAAATGCTGAATAACCGCTGTATAACATCTGATATCTACATACGCACATGTTATTTATAAATATTCAATCTAACTGTTTCTTTGTTAAAATGTTGTGTAATGTGCTGTAACATGCTGTTGTGTGCATGAAAGTCTTTTATTAACCCCTTAATGCTGTTATGGCGTTTTATGCCGTCCCGTATTAAATGGGCTTTAAAGCCATTGTGGCAGCATAGAGCGCCGTAACGGCTTGCAGCCCCCAGGAGGTGAGATATACTCACCTCCGCCGCGATCCTCTTCTGGAGGGATGCCTGACAGCCCAGGCAGCCCTCCCCCGGCAAATGAGGCCACCGGGGCTATGTGATCGCTCTTATCTGAGATGTCAGACAGTCCCCCTGCTGGTGGGAAGTGTAAAAAAAATGATTAGACATGTGTAAAATTAAAATAGAAATGTGTGTGTATATATATATATATATATATATATATATATATATATATATATATACATATTATATATTTGTAACATCATACGTAATGTATTTTAATATTATAAGTACATATATTAGTATTAAAATGCACTTAGAATGACGTCACATATATATAATATATATATTATATATAATAGATATATACACATATTATATATAAATACGTATAATTACAATAATAAATAAAATAATAATATAAATAAAATATTGAAACAAAATTTAATATAAATTATATATTCATATGTAATTTCATTCTAACTGTATTTTGTTATTAATATATATATATATTGGTAACAAAATACACTTAGAATGACATACTATATCTATCTATCTATATATAAAATACAAATAACCGCAAATATATGTATATAGATAAATACATATAATTACATAAAAGATTACATTAGTATACACGTAGAACTTAAATACCTATAAATGCATATATATTAAAATTCTACGTGTATATTTAAGTAATCTTTTAACATAATGATGTGATTTGATTAATTAAAATTTGACATGCCTGACAACACAGGGAGAAAGAGCAGAGAATTTAATTCGCAAGCGCTATATTTGACCCTGTAACTCTCCAAGACACCATAAAACCTGTACATAGGGGGTACTGTTTTACTCAGGAGACTTCGCTGAACTTAAATATTAGTGTTCCAACTGGTAAATTGTATTACAACGATGATATTTTAAGTAAAAGTGAAGTTTTTTGCACTTTTATGGACTATATTATTGTTGTAATATGTTTTACTGTTTTAACCCCTTAAGGACTGAGCCAAATGTACACGTTGTGAACGAAACAAAATGTAAACAAAACCTGGCATTTGCGCTACATGTCTGTCCAACCCTAATTCACCTCTTTCATATTAAATGCACCCACCCTTATTCTATATCATTTTATTCAGGGGAAACAGGGCTTTCATTTAATATCAAATATTTAGATGTGAAACATAATTTAATATGAAAAAAATGGGAGAAAATACGATTTTTTTTAGTTCTACATGACATTTTAACTGTCAATGTCATAATACTATTTGCTTTTACTGCAATAAAATACACATATTTGTATTAGTAAAGTCTCACGTGTAAGACAGTACCCCATATGTACAGGTTTTATGGTGTTTTGGGAAGTTACAGGGTCAAATATAGCACGTTACATTTGAAATTGAAATTCGCCAGGTTGGTTACGTTGCCTTTGGGACTTTATAGTAGCCAGGAATGAAATTTACACCCATAATGGCATACCATTTGCAATAGTAGACAACTAGTGATGTCCCGAACGGTCCGCCCCCTATGTCATCATTGAGTAAACATTGACCCTGTACCTCACAGTCAGCAGACACATTCCAGCCAATCAGCAGCAGACCCTCCCACCTCCTGGACAGCATCCATTTTACATTCATTGTGAAGCTGCATTCTTAGTGAGCTGTCCAGGAGGTGGGAGGGTCTGGGAGGGAGAGTCTGCTGCTGATTGGCTGGAATGTGTCTGCTGACTGTGAGGTACAGGGTCAAAGTTTACTCAATGATGATGAATAGGGGGCCGACCGAACAGTACATATGTTCGCCATCCGTGGCGAACCGTTCGGCGAACCGTTCGGAACATCACTATAGACAACACAAGGTATTGCAAATGGGGTATGTCCAGTCTTTTTTAGTAACCATTTGGTCACAAAGTTAACTGGCCAAAGTTAGCGTTAGTATTTCTTTGTGTGTGAAAAATGCAAAAAACGCCAATTTTGGCCAGTGTTTATGACTAAGTGGCTACTAAAAAAGACTGGACCTACCCCATTTGCAATACCTTGAGTTGTCTACTATTGCAAATGGTATGCCATCATAGGGGTAATTTTCATTCTTGGGCTACCATAGGGTCTCAAAGGCAACATAACCAATCTGGCGAATTTTAATGTCAAAAAAATGAAACACAAGCCTTACATTTGACACTGCCAACTAGCTACCATAAAAGTATACCTCGAAGTACTGTTATGTCAGGAAGACTTAGCTGGCTACAAATATTTGTGTTTCAAAACAGTAAAAAGTATCGCATAATAATATATGCGTCCGTGTAAGTGCTGTTTGTGCGTGAAAAATGCAAAAAACTTCACTTTTTACTGGCTGATATCATGGATAATAATACATTTTACTGTTTGAAACACTAATATTTTAATGTTCAGCGAAGTCTCGAGTAAATTTCAGTACCCCATGTACAGGTTTTATGGTGTCTTGAAGTTATAGGGTTAAATATAGTGCTAGCAAATTAAATTTCCTTTACTTTTGGCATGGGTTGTCAGGCAGGTCCCGCTAATTGTAATTAATTAAGATACCTAATTATCTAAAAATATTACATAAATATATATGTAGAATTAATATATGTATATATATACGTATGTGTATATATATGTATATATCTATATAATTTTTTTTAAATATTTTTATTTATATATAGGTGTATATATATAGTGATATATACGTATATATTTATGTATATAGATATATATATATATTATTTCGTTCTACGTGTATTTTGATATAAATATATATATATATATTAATATCACAATACAGTTAGAACGAAATAACACATGTATATTTTTTTTATTATTTTTAAAATAATTTTTTAGTTTTATTTTTTAACGTATTTACATATTTAATTTTTTATATTATACATAAATATATATATAACAATAATTATATATATTTGATCAATATCAGTCTATGTGTAATTTGATATTAATATATATATATATATATATAAAATTATATATATATATATATATATATATATTAATAGTAAAATACACCTAGACAGTGTATGTGTGTGTATGTATATGTGTATATATATACTTAGATCATATATAATATATATATTTTTTTTACACTTTTTAACTTTTATTTAATTTTATTTCCAGCCGGCAGGGGGACTACCTGTCATTACAGGCAGCCCCCCTGTTGGCAGTACAGAAGGCAGCTATCCCGGCCATGTGATTGTGAGGTTCTCGCAAGGACCTCACTCTCACATGGCCGGGGGGGTTGCCAGGAGGAAGGTCTGCTGCGGGGGGGCTCCCTGGGAGTCCCCCCAACCGTGATCGCCGGTGTGGGAGCGCCGGCGACCGGGTAAGTAATGAAAGACCGGAGTGCGTACTATTATGCCTGGCGGCATTTAGAGCCGCCTAAAATAGGGCGTAATAGTACGCCCTCCGGTCTGAAGGGGTTAAAACACTAATATTTGTGTTTAGTGAAGTCTCCCGAGAATAACAGTACCCCCCATGTACAGGTTTTATGGTGTTTTGGAAAGTTAGAGAGTCACTTATAAGGCTTGCATTTCATTTTTTTGACATTGAAATTTGCCAGATTGGTTATGTTGCCTTTGAGAGCGTATGGTAGCCCAGGAATGAGAATTACCTCCATGATGGCATACCATTTGCAAAAGTAGACAACCCAATGTATTGCAAATGGGGTATGTCCAGTCTTTCTTAGTAGCCACTTAGTCAAAATTCGTTTTTTGCTTTTTTCACCCCAAAACAAATATGAAAGCTAACTTTGGCCAGTGTTTGTCACTAAGTGGCTACTAAAAAAGACTAAACATACCCCACCTTCAATACCTTGGGTTGTCTACTTTTTCAAATGGTATGCCATTATGGGGGTAATTCTCATTCCTTGGCTACCACACCGTCTCAAAGGTAACATTACTAATCTGGCAAATTTCAATTATCCCGTTCTATATTTGACCCTGTAACTTTCCAAAACACCATAAAACCTGTTAATGGGGGTACTGTTGTACTCGTGAGACATCACTGATTACAAATATGTGCATTTATTTGCAGTAAAACTTAACAATATTATGACATTCACAGCTAAACTGTCAGACGGAGATTTTCTCACATTTTTTAAAATTTTATTCATAATACATTATGTTCCATATATGAATAGTTAATGATAAATTAAAGCCCTGTTTCTCCTGAATAAAATGATATTTAATAAGTGTGGGTGCACTTAATGTGACAGCGGTGAATTACAGTTGAACAGACATATAGCGCAAATTCCAGTTTTAGTTTAGGTTTTGTTTTGATCAGAATGTCCTGAAGGGGTTAATCCATAGCTCCCACATATGGTTCCTGTAGCCCCTCTCATTGGGTCCATCGAGCCAGTTTAGGTTCTCCCTTCTTGTACATGATTGGAGTAATGAGAGGTTAGGGAGGGAGTGATGGGAACACAGGGAAGGAAGGCAGTGATGGAACCACAGGGGGGAGGCTGGGAGTGATGGGAGTAGAGTTCGGAGTAGAGCTGGTGAAGGTTTAAGATGGTAATGTGCAAGACTCCACCAACAGAATTTGACTCCCCCCACCTCTCTGGAAACTCCATCTCTCGATACTGGACTGAAAAGAATGACCAATCCATCAGTGTAGGCGGCCGAATAGGGCACTAGCCCAGTAGGCCCCTCTCTTGACGCAGCATTGCGGTCAATGCAAATACTGGTGCAGACCACAGTGCCCCCACCGGGCCACTAGGGAGGGCTCTCCAATGTACCACGAATAAGGGGGAAAACATACATATTCAGACACTTACTTAATCTGGCTCCGCATTGGACTCATATGAAATATTAAAATAGCGGTCAAATAAAAAATATATATATATATATATAATACTTTATTTAATTGTTTGAACCATTTTACTGCCAGAGATATGAGCAACACATTGCAAAGAAATGTGTGTGGCAAACTCCTAGCACCAAAATAGCTCAAACATATTATTATGTTTTACTTAGTATGCATGAAATTGCTTACGAAAAAAAATGATTACAATTATCAGCACAGAAAAATCCAATTTAAAAAAGAAGACTCGAGGATACAGGACAATTCAATAATGCCACTGCACCTGGAAACCTGAGATAGTCTGACAGCGTGATTCAACAAGCACATGACCGGTGTATGTCGTCATCTGGGCAGGGGGAGATGGTTAACCGTTTAAAACACTTATAATCCCCATTTCCCATATTCCCAAAATAATTCCAGACTACTCCGGGGTATGGGTCAATATGTCCGCAGCTTTATTAAACATTGTGCATATATTAAAACAATTTAAATTCATTGCCCCGCCCCCACCCAACCATACGTCAACATCCGTATCCATTACATCACAATAATAATAATAAGGCAATGACCCATATGAAACATATTCTTATTATAATGTTACCATAAAACACTTACATACCAAATAACATAATATATATACATATAAATAGTGCTATACCGAACTTTTTCCCTGGAGAATAGTTCCTGGCGAACATAGCGTGTTCGCGTTCGCCACCGTGGGCGAACACATGCGCGGTTCGATCCGCCCCCTATTCGTCATCATTGAGCAAACTTTGACCCTGTACCTCACAGTCAGCAGACACATTCCAGCAAATTAGCAGCAGACCCTCCCTTCCAGACCCTCCCACCTACTGGACAGCATCCATTTTAGATTCATTCTGAAGCTGCATGCTTAGTGAGAGAAGGGAAAGTGTAGCTGCTGCTCATTAGATAGGGAAATTGATAGTTAGGCTAGGGTATTCAGTGTCCACTACAGTCCTGAAGGACTCATCTGATCTCTGCTGTAAGAACAGCACCCCAAAAAGCCCTTTTTAGGGCTAGAACATCAGTCTGCTTTTTTTTTTTTCTGTGTAATGTAATTGCAGTTGCCTGCCTGCCAGCTTCTGTGTCAGGCTCACAGTGGATACTGTGCCCATTTGCCCAGTCAGTGCCACCACTCATTTCTGGTGTCACAATAGCTTATGCTTGACATTTAAAAAGAAAAAAAATTTTTTCACTGTAATAGATTGAATAGCAGTTAGTTGCCTGCCAGCTTCTGTGTCAGGCTCACAGTGGATACTGTGCCCATTTGCCCAGTGCCACGACTCATATCTGGTGTCACAATAGCTTAAGCTTGACATTTAAAAAGAAAAAAAAATCTTTTCACTGTAATAGATTGAATAGCAGTTAGTTGTCTGCAAGCGTCTGGGTGTCAGGCATCCTTCAGCATGTGCTCTGCAGACCTCTGCCCGTGTACTTTGCCACTCATATCTGGTGTCTCTATAGCGTGCTTTTACAAAGAAAAAAAGTTTTTCAGTGTAAGCTAATAGCAGTCAGTGTCCTTAAAGCGGGTGTCAGGCCTCCTTCAGCGTGTGCTCTGCAGACCTCTACCAGTGTACTTTGCCACTCATATCTGGTGTCACAATAGCTTGCATTTAAAAACAAAATTTTTTTTTCACTGTTATAGATTGAATAGCAGTTAGTTGTCTGCCAGCGTCTGTGTCAGGCTCACAGTGGATACTGTGCCCAGTGCCACCACTCACTCACTGGTGTCACAATAGCATGCATTTAAAAACCAAAAAACCTTTTTCACTATTATAGATTGAATAGCAGTTAGTTGTCTCAAAGCGGGTGTGTCAGCCCTACAGCGTGTACTCTGCCAGTTTACAGTGCCACTCATATCTGGTGTCACAATAGCTTGCATTTAAAACCCAAAAACTTTTTTCACTGTTATAGATTGAATAGCAGTTAGTTGTCTGTCAGCGGGTGTGTCAGGCTCACAGTGGATACTGTGCCCAGTGCCACCACTCACTCACTGGTACCCGGACGAAATTTCTTTTCACAAAAGGCAATCCCCAACCTGAACTCGATTGTGCAAAAGGAAATAATGGCATGTCTGGCACACAGTGTTGGGGCAAGGGTCCATCTGACCACTGATACCTGGTGGTAAAAATGGCTATATCATCCTAGTAGGCACAGGCATACTCCTGAAACCCATCCAGTAGCCGATCTACCATCCTCTGAAAGTTAGCCGGGGCATTCTTCATCCCAAATGGCATGACCTTAAACTGATACAGGCCAAACGAGGTGACAAATGCCGACTTGTGGATGGCGTCCTCGGCTAATGGAATTTGCCAGTACCCCTTGCACAGATCTATTGTGGTGAGGTACTGGCCTCTGGCCATTTTGTCTAGGAGCTCGTCTATCCGGGGCATAGACGAGGCGTCTGAGGTTGTTTTATCGTTTAGCCTCCGGTAGTCTACACAGAAACGGGTCGTGCCGTCCCGTTTCGGTACTAGTACTACCGGGGAGGCCCAGGGGCTGTCAGAGTGTTCTATCACCCCTAACTGCATCATTTCCTCAATTTCTTTCTGAATATTTTCTTTAACTGCTTCGGGTATGCGATAGGCGGTTTGGCGAAGGGGGGTCTGGTCTAGGGTTTCAACTTTGTGAGTGGTTAACGGACTGTACCCAGGTAGGTTGGAAAACGTGGCCCCCTTGTCCTGGATTAGTCTTTGGACCTGGGTTCGCTCCTGGGGGTCTAACCGTTCTCCTAACTGTACTTCTCCCAGGTCTCCGCTCTGGCCCTCTAGGTCTAGGAGATCTGGGAGTGGCAAATTATCATAATCTTCAGTGGCAGGTGCACAGATCGCGGTTACCTCTTCCGTGCGCTCGTGGTATGGCTTGAGCATGTTCACATGGAGCATGCGCTTGCCTCCCGTGCCTGTGACCACACCGATCACAAAGGTGGTATCACAAACCTGCTCTACCACCTTGTATGGGCCCTGCCAGGAAGCCTGCAGCTTGTCCTTGTGGACAGTGTCAATCCATATCTGCCAAGTGACCCTATGTAGGGGGAACAGTCTATTCTGCTCTGTGTCAGTGTGTATCATGATCTGAGGACAGGTGTCAATCCATATCTGCCAAGTGACCCTATGTAGGAGGAACAGTCTCTATTCTGCTCTGTGTCAGTGTGTATCATGGTCTCTGAGGACAGGTGTCAATCCATATCTGCCAAGTGACCCTATGTAGGGGGAACAGTCTCTATTCTGCTCTGTGTCAGTGTGTATCATGGTCTCTGAGGACAGGTGTCAATCCATATCTGCCAAGTGACCCTATGTAGGGGGAACAGTCTCTATTCTGCTCTTTGTCAGTGTGTATCATGGATCCTTAGGATAGGTGTCAATCCATATCTGCCAAGTGACCCTATGTAGGGGGAACAGTCCCTATTCTGCTCTGTGTCCGTGTGCATCAGGGGCTCTGAGGACAGGTGTCAATCCATATGTCAAGGTGTCAATATGTCATATGTCAGGTGTCAATCCATATTCATTGTGATTTAGGAATGTTAGGTGATTTCTGCCCTTTATGGATTAAAACCAGACTCTTCATCAACTGTGTAATTTTCCATGGGAGTTTTGCCATAGATCCCCCTCCGGCATGCCACAGTCCAGGTGTTAGTCCCCTTGAAACAACTTTTCCATCACTATTGTGGCCAGAAAGAGTCCCTGTGTGTTTTAAAATTCGCCTGCCCACTGAAGTCTATGGCGGTTCGCCCGGTTCGCCAGTTCGCGAACATTTGCGAAAGTTCGCGTTCACCGTTCGCGAACCGAAAATTTCGGGTTCGCGACATCACTACATATAAATACCAAACATATTTACACAATACCTCAGACACCCCTACCCCACCAAGGTTCAAAGCCACTGCCGGGCTTGAACCACCAACTTAACCAACATTGGTCACCAACCAACTGGAACCACTCGGCACACAACTTCCTTAATTCCTCTGTGGTTCCCCCCCACCCCAGTGACTATTTATACCTGAATATCTCCCTAACTACCCCGCCGCTGTGACCAAGTGGGAAAACAACCTAAGGGAGGGAGGGAGGGACCAGCTCCAAACTGTTAGTGAAATTAATGGTGACAGGAGCTAAAATGGCCGGCCTATTTATCTAAGCCGCTCCCCCTGACAAACTACCAAACACACACACACCCGGTTCTCCCCCTAAGCCCGCCTCCAACCCCTGTGAAGGCCCTATTCCACTTATGCTGCTCAAGTTCCATGGGGCTACACACAATGTGGGGTGTCTGGGGAAGCATTTCCACAAGGCACATAGTACTGGGGTTTGTTGAACTAACAGTGCTGACATGATACAAACATTTCTACATGACACACGGTGTTCTAAATGGACGATACATTAACAGCAGAAACACACAGCACTGGTTTGAATTGTAGCTGTGTCACTATGTGTGTGATTTAGATGAGTTTGACCTTGTGTGTTGGCACCCTGGGTTCAAATCTTGTTATGGGCATAAAATATTTTCTATTTTTTTTATTATGATTTATTATTCACATTCATAGTTATTATTATTATTATTATTATTATTATGCTTTATTATGGAATCATAGTCACTCTACATGTTCACTCTACAGAAACTTAATAAAGGAAATATGGAATATAAATGTGATAACTACATTACATTTATAAAAACATAAATCACAATGCAGAGAGTGAAAGCACAGTCCCTGAATTTGATTTGTGCAGAATGAATAGAAAAGGACTTTTGAACTATCATAGACTGGGCCTAAATCATGCATCCTGCACTCCTGCTGATGATTAAATGGGGCATTTAAAAAAAAATTCATCTCTAGGAGTGTATTGATTGGTCAGATTTAAAAACAAGCTATACAATTCTACACGTGCCCAGTTGCCCTCAGTATTATCAGTGACTCAGTGACTGTAGTGGAAGAAAGGAAGGGGGAATTATAGCATTGCAGTGCTGCATGGTGTATGTTTAATATCAACAATGTGATTTCCATGTTAACCCTCCCCCAAAGGTAATTCATTCCTTTCTATCTGACAATAGATTTTTTTATTATGACACCAATTATCTGGTAGGATGCTGCTCTAAGTGACCCAATGAACAAGCAATCACTAGGTGGGAGGATGGGGATAGAGTGATGGAAATGAGTGATGGTAGGGAGGGATGGATTGATATGATGGGAGGACAGAGAAAGAGGGACGATGGGTTGGTGTGACGGGAGGACAGAGATGGTGTAACGATGGATTGGTGTTATGGGAGGACAGAGATGGTGTAACGATGGATTGGTGTGACGGGAGGACAGAGATGGTGGAACGATAGATTGATGTAATAGGAGGACAGAGATGAAGGGACAATGGATTGATGTGACAGAGGACAGAGATGGTGAAACGATGGACTGGCGTGACGGGTGAACAGAGATGCAGGGACGATGGATTGGTGTGACAGGAAGACAGATATGGAGGGACAATAGATTTATGTAATAGGAGGACACCTGCCCCTGCCGCCACTGACCCATCTGCAGCCCTGAGCCCTGGCATTGGTGGCCTCATGGCAAATCTGGGTCTGCCGTTAAAGTAAATTCTTAAACTTGTTTGTTGAACTTTAAAGAGAACTATCAGATGGTTTGTTTATACTACAATAACACTCCAGGAATCAAAATCCTTTCATGTCAATAAAGTGCTTACGGTGCCCAGAGTCCAATCACAGCTACCTACCGGTGAGAATTAAACTGTTTTCGGTTCAACGCTTATGTGGAGTCCCTGGGGCACCGGCCCAGCTTCCTCTCATCCCGCTGCTCCTCAATGTGGGAGAACTTGCTAGAGTAATAAACTGAGAATGCCAGCCGACACTTTCAACCTATCCCTATAACAAATAACGTTTCAGGTAAATGCGTACATTTCTTGCGTTACTTGCTATGGGCAGCCAGTGATAGATTGGCTTCCTATAAAATATAGAGCTCAATTTAAAATTCTGGTTCTTGCTTTCAAATCTCTACATAATGCTGCTCCCACCTATCTATCCTCCCTTATACACAAGTATGTCCCGTCTAGGCCCTTACGATCTGCTGAAGACTTACGTCTATCTTCTGTCCATACTCCCACCTCTGATGCTCGCCTTCAAGATTTCTCGAGGGCTGCACCGTTCCTGTGGAACTCGCTTCCCTCCTCCGTTAGATGCTCACCCAGTCTCCACTCCTTCAAAAAATCGTTAAAAACCCACTTCTTCATAAAAGCGTATCAATTAAACTGTTAATAGCTCCTGACTGATTCCTCTTCTGCAACTGTCACTAGTCTAATACTATCCTTACCTTTTTGTGTCATTTTACCCCACTCCCTCTAGCATGTAAGCTCATTGAGCAGGGCCCTGAACCCCTCTGTTCCTGTGTGTCCAACTTATCTGGTTACAACTACATGTCTGTTTGTCCACCCATTGTAAAGCGCTGCAGAATTTGACGGCGCTCTATAAATATCATAATAATAATAGTCTTAAAGAGTCAGTTGATGTTCTCAGCCGATCAATGATTCCGTATTTGCAAGCGGCCGGAGGAGAGGAATCTGTAACGGCACCTGGGGGACTCCACTTAACCATTAAACTATTCGAAAACAATTTAATGCTTAAAGGTAAATAGGTTTGGGTGGACTCAGAGTAACAAAACGTCTTAGTAATGAAATGGTTTTTGCGCCCAGAGTGTTTCTTTAACCTTTTATTTAAAGGTATGGGGGTATTATTTAACTGTGGAGTATACCTTTAAACTATTAATTAGAGGAAGTTCAAGAAATTGTGACTGTGCATAAGTTTTTCAATGAAATATTCCGATACCTGCTTCCTGTCGTCTATGTTTCAATACAGACTTACCGCTTGCTCCAAATTCTCTCTGACATGCCATCCTTTCCCAGAACGAAGATATCTTCTTTGTTTGCAAAAGGTCTTGTTCATTACTTTCCAGACCCTCGCACTTATAATATAAGAAGGGTCTCATTAACTGCGCAGATAATTCATGTTCAGCAGGAGTCGGCGCTCCACGCGGCAGTAGTTATTACACTGGTTTCTCAGAAGTCATGAAATTGCTGATTAAAATTCATCTTCACAGACAGCTTGCTCAAGATTTCTTTGAGACATTTTGCAATTGATCTGATATTCTTGTTCTCAACATTCTGTTTGTGTGAGAGCGTGATGTGCAAAGTGCCTCCCAGACGGACCGTCGAGGAACGTGCTGGAAGCCTCACAGTTTCAGTAATGTACGGCTGTGTAGATGTTTTGGCCACGGCCGATTATAGGCCGGGATCTGCAAGTTTCAATGGGCCTAATTACTTCTATCTACAAATAGCAGGTTCCCAGGAACACATTTAAAACTGGGTGCTCTGGGTATGTATAATACCACGTCCATGATAAGGCTGCGATCTGATATTGTTAAATAAGCTTTCCAAATGATTTAACAGTTTTTGGATAAACTTTTTTAAATTTTTTTTATTTATTATTGTGAAAAATATTAAAATTTTGTAATATTTTGATCATTTTTGATATGTTGATATTTTGTATATATTTTTTGATATTTTAATATTTTTGGGAAAAATCATTTTAAACTCTTATACAAAATGTTTAAATCATGGTTGCCCAAAAGGTAGATCTCCAGATTTTAAAATTACAACTTCCATGATGCCTTGTCATTCTAAAGGCATGCAAAGCATCATGGGAGCTGTGGTTCTACAACGTATGGGGATCTACCTGTGATGAAGTGCTCTTCGCCACTTGGTCCTGGAGAGGCTTGCTTGCCCTGCGACAGTGGCCCAGGGATGTATGGCCCTTTAAAAACATTATTGGGGCTTATGGACTTTCATTGGACTGGTGCAGGCCCTTTAAGTACATTTTTGGGACATGGTGAAAATCGGAACAATGCCCCTTTAAATCCGTGTCCCCAGAGTCCCTAGACTGAGGAAATAACTTTTACATGGCTTTCTCCCTTATGGTTTGGTAATTGGGGCTTACCGAGCCATTTACTGCACAGGCGGACCACCCAGAAGTGAAAGCGTGCGGTTAATTTACCTCCCAGGCTGGGAGGCTGCTGTAGGTAAATTGCCGACCGCTGGGTGGCCGTCGTTCGTGCAAACGGTTCGTGACGACCGTTCGGACAGCCATCTTTATTCAGCTGAACGCGGTCAGCGGTGTGTGCAGCCAAATTCATGTAACTGAAATCGGCTACACATTTCCACGAACACCGCTGACCCTTACCTTCTCCTACACTTACACTGCGTGCATTCAAAATAGACCGACTGCACAGCCCAAATCTATGGAACTATTTTGGGCATGAAAATGTGCTTGCGGTCGGTCAAAAAGGGACTTCCATCTAACTGTTTAACCACTTAACCGATTCAAGTGAATTTTGGATATGTTTGTCCCCAAGTTATGCTGGTTGTCAAAATATAAGTTTTCTTCGTATTGCATGTAAAATCACAAAGTTATAAAAAATTTTAAAAAAATATGTTTTAGCTTGGAGATAATTGAGTTAATTAACTAAATTATCTCCCAAGCAGAGGGGAGGAGTCTTACTGTAATAAGTGGGTGTGATTAGCCATGTGTCTTTATTTGATTGGTTGCAAAG